CACAGAACCCCCTTTATGAATAAATTTAACGATTTGAAAATCACTTTTCCTAATATTTTGATTGAATATGCAAATAAATATGTCAAAATCTCTGAATCATACAAAAATGTTAATCATTTTTCTTTTATTTGACAATTGAATTTGTTCACATAAGGGATTTGGCGCATGATTAATTAAAACACAGGGGGGTTTGACGCATTTTTTAAATCACAGGGGTTAATGCGCCGAATTTCCAAATCACAGGGGGATAATAAGAACTTATTTGACCGTTTTTATGCAACTTCGAGTACCAATTAGACCCTTACCTCTATTTCAAGACAAAAACCCGAGTATATAAGGTCACATATGAGGTCCGTACACCGATACAGATATTCACATTCCATTTCCATTAACCAAACATTTCGTTTGTGAAATTGTGAAAAGCAGAATTCAATCTAACCCTTGCACTGTTGCCTGTTCTTAGCGTTTGTAAACTCCATTTTTCAACTCTCTTGTTGCGTGAGCATTCCTACCGAAAGCATCTTGCGATTGAGTTCAGTTCAATGGCGAACAGCAATCTACCTCGAAGAATCATCAAGGTACCGCCTCGATCTCCTGTTTCCTCGTCGATCTCTCTCCGATTCTTTCAGGAAATTCGATTTGAGCCCTTTTTGGTATTTGATCATTTTCGGTGCTGTTCAGCTTTTAGTAATTTCTCAAGTTTTTTCTTCTTCTAGGAAACTCAGCGGCTCCTTAGCGAACCAGGTATATCTCTTCCAGCGATTCGGTGTATACTACTTGTATATGTTTCTCTGTGCTTATTTATGTTTTTTCTTGACGGAGAAGTGTGGATATAGTGCTTGACTAAGTTTTATCTCCAGTGGGAATGGTTTGTAAGCTCTCCTGCGACGAAAGTATGAGTATAAAACTATAAACTGTATGATTTGTTAAAAATTACAGTGTTGCTTCTTTTTGTGGCTAGCGTTAGTTTCTGAGCGTCTAAATAGTACCTTGGTGTGGTACAATATGGATCCATGTATTTTGTTTGTCAGATTCCTGATGTAACATCTTTATTTGTTGCTTTATATTTGTGGTTCGGATAAACGTATTTTTAATTAAAGACGTTTAAGTGTTTTTGTATTGTTATTACTCATTCCAGCTCCTGGAATAAGCGCATCTCCATCAGAGGAAAATATGCGGTATTTTAATGTGATGATTCTTGGTCCAACACAGTCTCCATATGAAGGTAATCTGTACTCATTTGCTCATTCTTAATTTGCGGTATTACTCATTCTTAAGTTGGTCATTTTATTGAATTAAGTTTTTTGTCCTGGTGCCAAACTAAGTGGGAGTGATACAGTCTTTCACTCTTTCTTAGGCTTTGACCCATCTTCATTTGTGTTAAACAAATGCAGGGCATGATTTGTTTTTACTGTGTATTCATTGAATAATCTGTTATATCCCTTAATTTTTATCTATAGGTGGTGTGTTCAAGCTGGAATTGTTTTTGCCTGAAGAGTACCCAATGGCTGCTCCTAAGGTATTGCAATAAATCAATCGCTCAGGGAATTTTCATGCAACTTTTGAAATATAAGTACTTTGCAGGCTCTACCATTTGTGCCCGCATTGCAATTAGTCAATTACTGATTTGCTTGTTAAAAATCTCAATTGCACATAAATGCAGCCCGGCTGTATCCTGTACCCACTATTGTGTTTCTTAAACATCCATATATAATCATATAGTTGTCCTTTGAGCAATGATATATTCACTTCTTACTATAAATTATGTAATGTTCGATGAACCAACTGTGAGTGTGTTTTCTTTTGTTGGTTGCACTTTGTTATTTGATTGAGAATTAAGAGTAATATCAAACATTTTGTATTTTTTTCAGGTTCGGTTCCTCACCAAAATCTACCACCCTAATATTGACAAGGTTTGTTGTGATTGCTCTGCATCCATTTTTTTTTGCACGAGTCTTGATTCTTTGTCATAACGGAATTTCATGTGCAGCTTGGAAGGATATGCCTTGATATCCTCAAAGACAAGTGGAGTCCTGCTCTTCAGATTCGAACGGTCCTTTTGAGGTATTGATATTCATTTTATTTATTAATTTCCTGACCATAAGATTCATTAGAAAATTATGACTTTTTGAGTATATGAAGCTGTACTATCTTGACACAATGTGATCTTATGATGTTTCAGCATTCAAGCACTTCTGAGTGCTCCAAATCCAGATGATCCACTCTCTGAAAACATTGCTAAGCATTGGAAGACAAATGAGGCCGAAGCCGTCGAAACAGGTTCTTTCACTTTACTGATCTTGGAGTAAATGCATTTGTGGTCCAGTTCATAATTTTTTGGCAATTTAGATCCGTTTTTTAAAACTTCAAAAGCTTAGTCCTGAAGTCAAGAAATTGAACATGTACTAGAATATACTGTTCAAATCAGGGATCTAGTGAATCAAATACTTAAATTGCGAAAAACCGTTGTTTGTAACATTTTAATTCTCAAACCTTTTTTTAGTGTCTTATGAAAAAGTGCTATTGGTCTTTAATTTTTTCAAGTTTACCCATTATCAAGGATTCATTGGATTCCAATTCGAATTGAATTTCCACACAAGCTTTGAGATCTTAGGTCATCTTACTGTGTCATTGAGACTAATTTGTCTGACATTTTGAAAGAAATAGATCTAAAATTGTAAATCTGTGGGGGGTTACATTGGCCAACCCCCTCACCTTTACTCAAGGGGCCAAAAGTGCATTTAACCTATTGGATTATGCATGTCAAAATTCTGGGAAATTGATCTAGCATCACTAGTGATAGAGTATATGGGCCTGGACCCCATGGCCCACATACTAAGTCAACGATGACCAGAAGAACATCCACGTGGCCCTTTCGGCCCAGTGGGGGTCCGCATCGGCCAGGAACCACACCGGCCCAGAATGCGCACCTGGACCTCCGGGGGCGCGCCGGCCCATGGGACCGCATTGGTCAAAAGGCACCGCATCGGCCACACTTCGTCCGGGCAGAATACATCTCTCTACCTTATTTACTAAGTATTGTACTCAGCCCATTAGTGGCCTTATTTCGCCCAAAGAAGGCATGATTATTGTAATGGGCCTCCTAAGCCCAAGGCTAGGGGCCCAAATCCACATTTTTACCTATAAATAGACCCCTTGGGGCTAGTTATAGGGGGTTGAGAAATATAATTACTCACTTTCTCTCTCTAGCTCTCACTTCTCTCTAGAATTAATACTCTATCAACTAGTATACTTTACTTCAATGTTCTTTGAGTTTTTCTTTTCCCACTTTTTTGCAGCTAAAGAATGGACTCGCCTGTATGCTAGTGGCGCTTGAACAGATTGTTCTGAATAACATAATATGAATGTGCCCTTGTTTACCATTTGGAATATGGGGCGCCACATGTAGTGAGCGTGTTTGAAACAAAAGTTCCTGTTTGTGCTACTTTTACATTCATGTTACTGCTGAATTATGATATCCCCACCCCTGAAAAGATTCTTTTCGTTGTAAAATGAAAAGATTGCATCTTCTTATTGCTTTCAATGGGGTCTTATGATACTTTTGATATTTTAGTTTAGGTTCACTGTTTGTCCTAGTGACCTATAGGAAAGCATTGGAGTCACCAATCCCTGTTAACCTGGCTATGTCTCTACTCTACTTTCACCCACATCTGCCTATGGGTTGAGCTCTCAAGAGAGCTAGGTTGGGCTGGGCTTAGTGATGGCAACGGGGCGGATCGGGGACGGATACACATAAAACCGAAACCGCCCCGTTGGATAAATGTTTGCCCCAAAACCGTCCCATTACCCGTTCGGGTAATTTTTATTTGAACCGTACCCGTCCCAATGGGGAATCGGTTTATCCACGGGTAATCGTTTCCCCAAATGATGCCATAAAACTATTTTTTTGGAAAACAAATAACCAATTTCTAATCCTATTGTTATTTATATATTCAAAGCACCATAAAACATACAAAAGTAAATATTTAAGCAATCAAACAGACTGGCCTAAATTCATTATTTCATTAGTATGACATGCATCTAATGTCTCTTGTAACATAATAAAAAAAATAGTAATCATCCCAGAATCCAAATTCCAAAATCAAGTTTAGGCCTATATTTAGTTTTAGGCTTAAAAAAGTACTCGTAGTATACTTTTTAGTATTATTTATATGATACTCCGTACTCCGTATATATATACTATTTAGTATACACAATTTAGCATATACACTTATTATTCTTATATATAAAAAGTTATAATAATTCATTAATAATGTTACGGATCGGGTAACGGTGCGGGTACCCGCACCATTAGTGAACGGGGCGGTTTCGGGGTGGATAATGGGGCGGATTAGTATAGAACCATAACCGCATCATTAACCATTTAAAAAATTCGGGTATTCCCCGCCCCGTACCCATTCCCCAGTCAAATCGGTTTTCTCCAGTTTGACCAAATCGATTCGGTGCGGGTATCCAACGTGTCAGTCGAAATTGCCATCTCTAGCTGGGCTTGTTCTATCATAAATTTGTAGAATACTTGTACGTAGTATATAAGTAATTGCTCCTTTGCAAACAAAGAAAGAGAACAAGTGAAGTGATTTAGTTATTTTTGTGGCAAAGTAGGGGTGGATCTGATACTCAGTTACTCAGGCTTATGGTTCTGGACCGGGACTGGCACTCGGAGTCTGACCAAACCTGGTACAGTTTTGCCAAAATAAGACTGGAACTGAGTCAACCGACTAGAGTGGTTCTGTTTTTTTTTTTTTGTTCTTTTTTTTTGTTTTTTCAAATTCTTTGGAATCATAACCAGTGGCTAACAGGAATCTATTTTCGTGGGAAGTGTTTGGCTGCTCTACATAGCCAGGGCCGTCTAATGAATTTGGAGGCCCCGGTTCCAAATGGCAAATTGAGGCCCCTAAGACAAGAAAAATGCAAATTTTAACAATGAAATACAAATAGTTTAGACAATTCAATGAAATATAAGTTTTATGATGTTGTTCCTTCGGGGCATCTGATAAAATTGGAACGATACAGAGAAGATTAGCATGACCCCTGCTCAAGGATGACACACATAAGTTTTATGATGTTTAAAGTCCATAAATTAGAGAATTTAAAGATTATATGCCTTTTGGAATCTTAAATAATACATGTCATCTAGAAAAATCAACCTATAACTAATAGTAGTGTCTAAATTTTTGGAGGCCCTCTACAAGAGTAGGCCCCGGTGCCAAGCACATATTGCACCTCCTAAAAGACGGTCATGTACATAGCATTGGCCAATCCAGGTCTCCAGGATAGGTCTGAGTCCACCATATCCCCAAGTAAGGCCTTGAAGTTAGCTCCCTCATCCAACGTGTCTGCTATGTTTCATTTCCATTCTAAGTAATTGCTCCTTTGCAAACAAAGAAAGAGAACAAGTGAAGTGATTTAGTTATTTTTGTGGCAAAGTAGGTGTGGACCTGATATCTGAACTAGACCGGTAAGGTACAAAGTCAGCTACTCAGGCTTATGGTTCTGGACTGGCACTCGGAGCCTGACCAAACCTGGTATAGTTTTGCCAAAATAAGACTGGAACTGAGTCAACCGACTAGAGTGGCTCTGTTTTTTTTTTTTTTTCAAATTCTTTGGAATCATAGCAAGTGGCTAACATGAATCTGTTTTCGCGGGAAGTGTTTGGCTGCTCTACATAGCATTGGCCAATCCAGGTCTCCAGGATAGGTCTGAGTCCCACCATATCCCCAAGTAAGGTCTTGAAGTTAGCTTCTTCATCCAACGTGTCTGCTATGTTTCATTTCCATTTTCCAGTTCTACTCTTTATATTTTAATTGGTTAACGATCTCAAATTAATCTGTAATCTATGAACTTATTTATATTTAACTTTCATTCTTATTTCCAAAAATACGTACAAGTTACACATTTTATGTAATACTGTGCATGAAGTTTTTTTTTGAAAACAGTCACTGTGCATGAAGTTATGAAACCTTTTGTTATAGAAGCCATAAAATATGACTTCATTGGCGTTTGCACTAACTATTTAGTCCAAAATTCTAAATCTATTCACATTATGTTTTTTTGAGAACAAATTATATTTTTTAATCAGCGAGATTTTGTAATCCGTATGTTTTGGCTTATTTTGCACAGTTCGGAGAAGGAAAAACTTTTTTAAACTTTTGAAGGAATGGGAGATAAGCAAACCAAACTTGCATATGTAATATATGTACCCCAAATTTTATACTCCCTCCGTAACTTTAAAATCTTCGCACTTTCCTTTTTCGTCCGTAACAAAAAAATCTTCCCATTTCTAAATCTTCCCATCATACCCTCAAAAATTCTGAAAATAATACACTATTACAACTACTTTTTTTGGATTTATCCTACATTCCATCACCTTATTCCACTATCTTCCTATCATACCCTCAATAATTCATATTCTTTTTCACTATTCTTAATCTACCTACTTTTCAAATGAGAATATTTTAAAGTTACGGAGGGAGTATAAAAAGTTATATTAGTACTGTGTTCATATATTTTTTTTCACAAATGTAATTAATGGTGATAAGTACATAGTTTAAAATAAACAAAACAGTTATGAGGATGCAATCAAAATTAAATCAAACTTGATGTAATATTATTTATTTCACAAATGAAATGTTAGAATGTTAACCGCATTCTAACAAAGATTTGAGTATTTTAAATTATGATTATTCCAATAAATTTGTACTTATAAAAAAACATATAAAAGTGGTTTGAAAATAACTTTTATATAAAGTTTCGGGCATATGTAATATATGCCCGGAACTTTATATAAAAGTTATTTTCACACCCTATTAAAGTTTGGGGGTATTTATCTCACACTCTATTAAAGTTTGAGGTATTTAAGTTATTCGAGAGGGGATAAGTTATAGATATAACAATGATCGACTAAAATATATCAACAAGTGGAAGGTAGCAAAACCAAGGTTGATTACCTTTGATATTTTATTTCCCTCATTTTAGTATTTTATTTTCTTTCTCAATTATCAAAATTTCCAATTCCCCCTTCCGTTTACTTTTATTAATTACGCTTACACATACGCAAAAAACATCTTTCCCTGTGGATACGAACTCTACTACGCTATACTACGGTATTAGCCCTTAGTAGTGAATTTAATTTGAGGCACACTACGACAAAGTGCTCGTCACGACTCTCCTCAAATTCTCAGCATCCTCTAAGGAGAAGTTTTACAGAATCTGAGTTTTGAAGGGAAATGAAGTTTTGTCGGGATTGACTGGCTCTTCTATCGCAAGCTCTCAACGGTAAGTCTCCCAATACATCTTCATTTAGTGTTTGGACTCTTTTTTTTCGGCGGCAATGATAATGGAACTTGGAAACCGTGAATTTCTGTAGTGGGAGAGGAGTAACCAGCAATGAGCCAAGAGTAGGTGTATAAGTTAGGAAGGTCATTTTTGGCATTTCAACGCATATTTAGTCCTTTGCGCGTCAGAAGAAAATTAAGTGGGTGTCCTATTTTTGCAATTTTGATAAGGTTTAGTCTTATTTGGATAATTTTCTCTTAATTTATTTTAGATTATTATTCGCTGCGGTCGGGTGGAACTGCAACAATGATCCTATACTATGTTTAAACTTTGTTCACTGTCCTTATTTACCATTTTCAAATAATAAATATTATGCCATTGAAGTTAATTATCTTTCGCATAATTAATTCTCAACTACATACTCCCTCCGTGAAAATTCTTCCTAGTTTGACTTGGATAAGAGTTTAAGAAAGTGATAATAAAGTTCAAATGTGAAATGTATGGTTGTAGTCAAGTAAGAAAATGTATATGAATGGTAGCCATACAAACTTATCCAAAAGGGGAAATTATAAAAATCTTTTGGGACGTCCTAAAAAAAGTGAGAAGAATTTTTCACGGACGTAGGGATACTAAGTATGAAACACTAGTAATACTTAATTCAATTACTATACTAGTTAATTTTATTAAGTTTTATAATACGGGTGGCTTAGTATTATAAAGGGAAATTGCCCTAAATATGAGTAAACGAGGTTTCAAATTTCAAAATACGACTATTATGTTTTTCTTCCCGAAATAGGAGTTGTTATTGTCATGTATGAAAAATACTGTCATAATTGAAAAATACTGTCATGTTAAATGCATTGTACTGCAACTATTTGATAGTCACGCTTACAAGATGACAGTAAATACTCTTATATTAGTCATATTTCGGGAATAAAAATATGGTAGTCCTATTTTGGAATTCCAAACTCCATTTACTCCTATTTTGGGAAATCTCCCTGTTATATAGCCCGTTGAATACAATTAATTCTCAACTACATATACGTATGTAATATTCGCATAATTTATAGTAACGTCCCACAAAAACAATATATGCAGGTTGAATCACGCTCGGATTGTGATTAATTAGCATAAAAAACGATAGATATATCGATGTTTCCATAATAAGATCGATCAGACTTGGAACTTTGGAAATAATCTAGTCCTAAACAAACTCTAACAATGATTAATTAGGGCACTGTTAATTGCCTAATATCTATCTCATCTCTCTATAAATACAGCCTATCCAAGCGTCGATCAATCCATAGCCGCACTTCGAATTCTTCACAAAATTCCATCTTTCAAACCCTAGCTATCTCTGTGTACGTAATAACATCATGGAGGAGGGCGACGTCGTCGCTCAGCCCCAAGGAGATGAGATGCAAGCCGTCACGACGACGGAATACGAGTTCCGTACCACGGAGGTGCCGTCGTGGAAGGACCAGTTGACCGTCAGGTCAATGGTCGCCAGCCTCGCCCTAAGCGTCGTCTTCAACTTCATCGTCTGCAAACTCAACCTCACCACCGGCGTCATCCCTTCCCTCAACGTCGCCGCCGGCCTGCTCGCCTTCACCATGATCAAGTCCTGGACCAAACTCCTATCCAAGGCCGGGATCCTCCACCGACCCTTCACCCGGCAGGAGAACACGGTGGTGCAGACGTGCGTGGTGGCGTCCTCCGGCATCGCATTCAGCAGCGGCACCGCCAGTTACATGCTCGGGATGATCCCGAGAATCGCCGACCAGGCGGAGATCGGGAACACCCCGAACAACATGAAATCGCTCTCCATTGGGTGGATGACGGCGTTCCTGTTCGCCGTCAGCTTCGTCGGACTCTTCTCCATTGTCCTGTTCCGGAAGCTGATGGTTCTGAAGTTCAAACTCACGTACCCTAGCGGCACCGCCACGGCGTACCTCATCAACAGCTTCCACACCCCTAAAGGCGCCGTCTTGGCCAAGAAACAAGTTTCCACCCTGTTCAAATCCTCTGCCTTCAGCTTCCTCTTCGCCGGCTTTCAGTGGTTCTTCGCCGGCGGAGACGATTGTGGGTTCGCCAGCTTTCCCACTTTCGGGCTCAAAGCATACGCCAAAAGATTCTACTTTGACTTCTCCTCCACCTACGTCGGCGTCGGAATGCTCTGTCCGTACATGGTCAACGTCTCCTTGCTCATCGGCGCCGTTATTTCGTGGGGGATTTTGTGGCCGTGGATTGAAACCAAGAAAGGGGTATGGTACGCCGCCGACCTCCCGGCGTCCAGCCTCCACGGCATCCAAGGCTACCGCGTCTTCCTCGCTATTTCCATGATGCTCGGAGATGGGCTCTTCCACTTCGTCTATATGACCATAACCACCGTTCTGAGCCTTCTTCTTCGTAACCATAAGAATCAAGAAACAGGGGAAGAAACAGGGGAATCAGAAGAAGAGGATAAACAAGATTATGATGAAAAGAAGAGGAAGGAATATTTCTTGAAAGATTCAATCCCGAAGTGGGTGGGGCTGGCCGGATATTTCGGGCTGGCGGTTATCTCCGTCGTCGTGGTGCCGCTAATTTTCCGGCCATTAAAATGGTACCATATTATAGTAGTCTACGCCATTGCCCCTGTTCTTGCCTTCTGCAACGCTTATGGGTGTGGACTGACGGATTGGTCCCTGGCGTCGAACTACGGGAAAGTGGCGATCTTGATTTTCAGTTCCTGGGTCGGGCTGAACAACGGCGGCGTCTTGGCCGGCCTGGCCGCCTGCGGCGTCATGATGAGCATCGTCTCCACCGCCTCCGACCTGATGCAGGATTTCAAGACGGGTTACCTCACTCTGGCTTCTCCGAGGGCGATGTTCTTCAGCCAGGTGATCGGAACCGGAATGGGCTGCGTTATTACGCCGCTGGTTTTTTGGATCTTCTACAAGGCGTACCCGCTCGGAGACCCGAACGGGTCGTACCCGGCGCCGTACGCGTTGATGTACCGCGGGATTGCTCTGCTCGGAGTGGAGGGGTTTGGGTCTTTGCCGAGGAACTGCCTCGGGCTCGCCGTCGGATTCTTTTTCGCCGCCGTCGCCATTAACGGCTTGGTGGAGTTGCTGAAGAAGTATGAGAAGAAGTACCGGCTGTACAGGTTCGTGCCGAATCCGATGTGTATGGCTATCCCGTTTTACCTTGGAGGGTACTTCGCCATTGATATGTGCATTGGGAGTTTGATTTTGTTCTTCTGGCGGAGGGCGGACGCGCAGAAAGCTAAAGACTTTGGGCCCGCCGTCGCGTCGGGGCTCGTCTGCGGGGAATCTTTGTGGGGAATTCCGGCGGCTGTGCTTGCTCTGGTCAACGTCAAAGCCCCCTTGTGCATGAAGTTCGTCTCATCGTCATCTTAATTATTATTGCTTCAATTTTTTGTTTTTAGTATTTTTGTTTGTTAATTAATTCTATAGGATTAGCTAGCTACCCAAGTAGCTTCAATTCAATTCGATCTTGTTTGTAATTCTTAAATTAAATGAATGGATTGTTTAATTTCAAAATTAGTATGAGTGAAGTTTTTAGTATTAGAGGGGAAATATGGTATAAGTGCATGGGATTTTAAATTTTGTGAAACATAGTGGCAGTTAAGCACATTCATGGAAATACTATTGTGCTCTTAATCGTAATTATTTAATATTAGTAAATAAGTTCATATAAAAGAAATAAGTATGTGATGATATGATACTAAATTAAAGAAGATAAACTAACACTAATCGATATATTTAATGTGGTTGATATCTCTATAACTTTTCGAAGTCCATTGATTTGAAGAGATTTGAATTGTAGGCATACTTTAATGTGTCCGGCCATACTAATGAGGATGAGTAAGAATATCATAAATCTTAGGGAACTTAACTTTCTCTTCATTTTCGGACAATATTGGACTTAATGCCTTATTTTTGAAATCATTAGTGTGTGCAATTGATCAATTCAAATTGTTGAAGGAATTGTCGTGCAAAGTCATCATTTTATGCTAAAATGGAGTGCATACAATAATGATCTTAAAGATATGATGTAAAGTTCAACATCACTTAAAATATGTGGTGCAAACTAAAGCCAAATTCTCTTAGATTTAAGTGTAAAACTTACAAAAAATGGGAGACCTTAAATAAGAGTCGAAGGAAGAAAAACCCTAGATGGAGCGGCCGACGTTGACAGGGGGAGGCGCTTCTCATGGCTTAGCAGCTTAATCGGATTGACTGAGCGACTAAGCCGTGGAGAAGCATGCCAGCTCCAGTCTTGGCTTCGTTGGAGTCGGGTGCATGGTTTGCTCCAATTTTCTCTATTTCGGTGCTTTCATTTTTTGTTCTCTTGTTGCCTTGTTTGGTGATCGAAGGTAGAGTTTCTGTTCGGCGAGTTGTTTTGCCACGGGTTTGTGCACTTCGTGTGTGGGCGTTTGTTTGATTGTTTAATTCATTTTGATTTAGGTGGTTGTTCGACATTTCCGTGTTGCCAAGAATTTTAATTTTTTGTTTGGCTGAGGGTTTGGTCCGTTCTAATTGTGAACGTGTTTGGGGGTTTGATGGTGAATGACTTTTGAAAGGAGGCCGGTAAACACTTGAGATCGAGTCTCTCAATATTGAATTGGGACATATTATATTCCACACCATGGCTAATGCTTCATTCAATATTAAAGTATTGTCCACATATAATTATTGAATTGGGACATATTCCACACCATGGCTAATGCTTCATTCATTTCGAATTTGTCTGGAATCAACTGCGGGCAATGAGTTCTAATATAATCTGCTAGTCTGTAAGTAATCCTAAAGATAGAAAGCAGCCCAATTATTAGGTTATTAATAGATTTATTTATTAGCAAAAAAAGTGCATGCACAAAGAAATTAAAGAGCATGAATCATACTAATTATGCCTTGATTTTTATATTTAATTATACTATCCGTTTGGACTTTGGACATGTCGATATGATTTTGATCAAGTCTCTTTAGCTTGTAGTATTTAGATATAAAACCTATCTTCTTGATCGAGATAATCATATCTCCTTCCTGTGAGTGGACGTTCATGAGTCCGCTATAAAAAACCAATGACCAAGTGTTGCCTTATGGTCCATTGGTCCTTGACGAAAGTTAGCTTACTCAAAAGCTGGCTTATCAGATTTAACCGATTTTGAGTCAATTCATTATATCTAGCAACTTAGCAAGTCTAGCAATTTTAAAAACCAAATCGATCATAAAAAAAAAAAAAACAAATCAATTACAAGTCACAACAATCCAATTTTCTAAATGAGTAATTAGTTTTCGTTGTACAGATTTTGACATGGTGCATATTTCTTAGGCATAAGTCTTTACTTTGAAGTTTTTGCACAATTTGAAGTCTCTAAAAAACCGTGGCACTCTCAAAGAGGGGGTCACAAATTCGAATCTCATCCCACTTCAGGCTGTTGACCTTAACATAAAATAACTACTATAATATTTTAGAAAGCTTTGCCAAAGAAGCATCTAGTTGTATGCTTGACATGACAATTTTTAGGAGTTTTTTTAGAAGCACACTGAGTAACATCTAAGAAAACTCAGTAGCTTTTAGCATTAATGAGTCAAAACAACTTGTATATCAATCAGAACTAAATTAAACAGTCAATTTTTTATGAAACAATTACATTATTTTCCTTTAAAAGCTTATAAGAGTGTTTTTTCAATTAGTTGTGTCAAACATACTTGTACGTAGTGTTGTGTAAAAAAGAATTGTGATCCCCAGAATTGTAAAAAAGAATTGTAAAAAGCAAGAGTGTTAAGTATTTTTTAACAAGATCATATCATTGTTAAAAAGAATTGTGATCCCCATAAAATTCCCCATGTATGCCTATTTACAAATACCTAGTATGCTACGAAGAATTTCTATTTCATTTATCAATTTAAATTCAAAGATGCACTCAAATCGCACGAGAAGTATTAGTTTGATTATTGTTTACTTGTGACATGGCTGGCTAAAAATGGAAAATGGGTTGGGGAGCTAAAAATGAGAGAGGCTTGACAGGCCAAAAGCAAGAATAATGAAAAAAGGTTGCTTACTCCTATTTGTCACCCACGGGCTCCATTATAGTGTTATAACTTTTTAAATTTAAGTCTAATTTCTGTAAAAATATATCTAAATGAAGTATATTTTATGATCTTTCATATGACATTAATAATGCATATATAATTTTTTTTAAAATCTAAAGTTCCAATTGCTAGAACTTGTTTAAACAAAAAATATGAAATACATAATTTCAATCCATGGAGCCTCCACAAATAACCAAATATTACCTGAACCCATTTTATTTTTATTACTGTCTAAAGTGACATGTAAGCAAATATACTGAGTGTTTTAATGACGGTGTTGAAATATCAGAAAATTTTACATCATTTTCATGAAGACATATTTCATATTTAAGTTTTTTTGTGGTGTAGGGATGCAAGTTGTCTTACAGTCAAAAGGGGACTTGTACATAAAGGAAGTGCTCGTACAAGGTGATTGGAGAGGCAAAATGGGACTTGTACCTCCTGAATCCTGATCTATAATGATGATTAGATCTCTAAAATGATACTCCCTCCGTCCCCCTAAGTTTGGGACGGAGGGGTGTGGTGTGGTTTTTAAGAAAAAGTGGAATTGTGTGGTTGGTATTGAATTGATAAAGTATAAATAAAGTAAGAATGAATTCTAACCACTCAAATGTTACTAAATATGGTATGGGACAAACTTAGTGGGACGGACGAAAAAGGTAAAACGGGACAAACTTAAGGGGACGGAGGGAGTAATTTAATAGAGGATATGCGCATAATGAAGCCAAGGTAGGGCAAATTAAGGGAGTGTTTGCAATTGCTTCAACTTTAAAAATGTGATTTTTTAAAGTGATTTTGGGAAAAATGATTAATAGTAAAAGTTGGTAGTGTTTGAGAAAAAAGTGATTCTGAAAAAGTAAAAGTCGGTAGTGTTTGGTAAAATAAGTACTTTTGTGTAATAGAAAAAGTGAGAAGCAGTTTAAAGCAACCTTCTACCTGCTTCCAGCTTTTAGCTTTTAAGTGATTAATTTAAGCAGAAGCTGTCATTTGAAAACACTCTTTTCAGCTTTTTTTAAGCCAAAAGCTGAAAAGAGCTTTTTTAAGCAACCCCAAACACTCTTTAAGAGTGACGGAGTAACGGCAAAACAAAGAAGTTGGACGGTGTGATTTAAAAATTTTAACGGAGCCATTAGGAAATACGTTATAATCGGAAGAGAGTACAACATGTACAACTAACTGTACATGTACCACTATTTATAGCTTTGAAATTCCACCAACACTTTTTTTATACCCAAAAAACCTAAGCTTCATTGGCATTTATAGGGAGTGTTTGCAATTGCTTCAACTTTAAAGAAGTGATTTTTTTAAGTGATTTTGGGAAAAATGATTAATAGTAAAAGTTGGTAGTGTTTGAAGAAAAAGTGATTCTGAAAAAGTAAAAGTTGGTAGTGTTTGGTAAAAGAAGTACTTTTTGTGTAATAGAAAAAGTGAAAAGCAGTTTAAAACACCCTTCCACCTGCTTCCAGCTTTTAACTTTTAAGTGATTAATTTAAGCAGAAGCTGTCATTTGAAAACACTCTTGTTAACTTTTTTTAAGCCAAAAGCTGAAAAGCACTTTTTTTTAATCAAATGCAAACACTCCCATAATATTATAGATATACAATCCTCGAACTTGGCCCCAAATATGAATAACTGGTGACCATGATTTCTTTGTTCCCTCGAAACATCCCATTTGAAGAAATCGTACATGATACAACATCAGTCTTATAACTTGGCACTAAGGACACATGGTCTCTTCATCACCGTATGGTGCTTCTACAATCAATTTGCCTGCCAACCGTGGGGGTAGTTCCAAAATTTTAACGATAGGAGGGCCAATGTGGGTATGTAAGAGTATGCTTCTATGGAAACAATTCACAACAACTCATAAATTATGTCCCTTAAGTACTATGCTTTGTATATCATCCCTGACCCATTTATCCTCATCTACGACTCTTGCTTTTATGTGCTTAGCTTGGAAATATGTGAGTTCCACTACATAAGAAAGGTAATATGTGTTCCTTTGTATTTCATAAAATTTTATAATTTTTTATTCTATTCCCGATATAGGCCAGAATTCTTTACCACATGCTTGAAATTGGAATGATTCTAACAAATTAAATGCATATTAAATTACAACCAATCTTCTTACATATGAATTTTAAGAATGGGTTGTGCTCCAAATTGTATTTATTCCAATCAATAGATTTTATTTCTAATTACTTAATTCAAAATTTTAATCTCCATTCTCATTTGTTTTTTTTATCTTACTTCTTCACAAATAACTGTTAGGATGTCTTCTCAATTGGAGAGGTTCTAGAGAATTCTAAAACTTTCTAGAGATATATAGAATTATTTAGAACATGTCAGAGAACTCTAGATAAGTGTATAATTCTTTATAATCTTGTGAAATAGTGTAGAACTCTGGAATATATATTTTTGAGATGTGTGCAACCTTCCGGAATCTTACAAAAAATATAGAAGACTATGGAAGGGGATACAGTGGCATAGAGACTCGCTAGAGTTCTATAGAATATGAAGACGTGTGTAGAGAATTTTAGAGAACTACTTTCCATCATTCATAGCGGATGTGGAGTAATATAAATAGAGGTAGCGGCCTTCATTACTAACCATCCAACACATGTGCGAATCCACTTCTTAGAGTGAGAAAGCTAGAGAGTATGAGTCTCTTTGATAGATAAGAGAGACAGTTTGAGAAGACTCTATCTTCAAACTTGAGAGAGCCACCATAGAATGAGCCAATTTTGCAAACACGTCCTTGTGATCATACTATTTGTGTGATGCCATCACTATCTTTAATTCTTAAGTGACTATTTAAACTTCATCAAGCAGGATAGTTCGCAATTTCCCAACAATAACAAAGAATATAAGGTGATCCTTATTTTCATTTAAAAAACAAACTTTATTGTTTACTACACTCATAAACAAAACAAGTACGCATAAAATAGCTTACAAGGTCGGTCTTAAAAATGTATTGTCCGTGTAGATTGAGTTGTTTTTTTGAACGGAAATTTGTCTCTATTCATATCATAAGTTTTAGGATCATTACATCAATTAAAGAAAAAACAAATCTGACATCAACTAAACCCCAACAACTACGACTGTAAACCCTATGATCAGACTTAGAGACAGTCACCCCTGAAAGAACAACATGAATCGTTAACCATGCAGCGGGCTTAGCTTGACACAACCATCCCTGTTCCCATAGATCCAAACATACTCAATGATATAACGAAAGGCTAAATTCCCAAACGAACTGACAAACCTAACAACATAGACGGTAACAAGAAAAAAAATGACAAAATAATAAAAACTAAAAGGAGGAGGACGAAACATGAACAAAACTAAATAAGCAAAAATAAATATCGTGAACCCTAGCACCTCGTTCAACCCCTGACGGTGGTTCAGGAGAAGGCCGGACCATCGCTATGATTGCTGACACGAACAAGGCACGGCTCCCGCCCGTCGCTTGATTGATTCCTTGACGAGCAACCTCCGTTTGTCCCGCAACTTCATCCCCTCTAGACGCTTCCTTTTCTCCCTCCTTTGGCTCCTGCAACTCCTTCTCCATCGGCTGCCACATCACGCCTAGCGATATCCCTGCGATCAATTTCCTTCTCT